TTTTTTTTTTAACCTATACTCATAATTTTGTAGGTATAGACATTTATACTAATAGTTTATTAAATTGTATGTATATGATTTAAATATAGTTACACATTTGTAAACACTATTGGAAATTAAAAACTTTATCTACGAAAATAGTCTAACGTAGGTAAAAAAAAAAAATATTTATACCTAAAGTTATAATAAATTATAAAAATAACAATAATCAATACCCATGAATATTAAAATCCATAACTATTGTTCATTAAAGATAGTTTAACTTTATAGATTTACTATTAAATACTTAAATTACCGTTTGTTAATCCTTTTGAAAAAAAAAAAGAAAAAAAAAAAAAAAAACGTAGGCAAAAAAAAAAAAAAAAAAAATTGCTTAGTTGAAAGAAATCAACGATCAAATTAAAAAAAAAAAACAAAACAAGAAAAAAAAAAACATAAGACACCAACGAACAAATTGAAAACTACCATTCTCTTCAAATCCCCAAGAGAAGCAATAGTAAGCAAGAACATCAACAATTGGATTGAAAGAGAAAACTGAAATTCAATCGCTATCCTATCTTGTCTCCCCACCTTGGTGATTTCTTAGGCTCATTTAAGGTAAGTTCTAAATCGATATCTAACCTCTCAGCTTTGGTTCTTGTGGATTATTGAAATTTATATATGGAATTCAAAAGGGTTTTTCATGGTTGTTCCACCTTGAGGACACCAGAAAGCAAGTGGGAACCCACTTGCATATGGCAATTTGAGAATTTGAATCTCCTTGTAAAATTTCAAGTAAATCTAAGAGTTTTGGATAGTTTAAATGGGTAGGCAAACATCCACGAGTTGAGTTTTCTGATTTGGGTCCATATAAAAAGGGTCTTTCTCTTGAGGAAAAATTGAACTCCAACCACCAAAATTCCCTTTAAGAGCTCCCTCCCCTATGCTCTTTTCCCATTGTATAGTTAGTTTACTATTTCTAAGTCAAATTATGGTGTTCAAAGCAGATAATAACCTTATAATTGTAAATGCAGTTTGAGAATCTATTGTTGAGTCTCGTTTATTCTTGATTTGAGCTACATTTGTCGTTTTTGGTAATTGTGTGAAGGAAAGTAAGAAGGTTCTGATATAAGACAGCAAAGCAAGATTTAGGCCTTTTTATATTTTTCTCCTTTTCTACATATAATAAGACATTAAAATGGGATGTTCTAGTTGCATTGATGATTTTGGTTTTCCTTTACATTAGTTGGAAGGAGCCTAATCACTTGTTGTACTAGTTATTTGGTTTTTTTATTCTCCTTACTAGAGTGATTGACAATTTAGGATAACAAAGCATCATATTACTTGAGGAAAGAGTTGCTTAGGATATGCATTAAGTAAAGAACTTGGATAGAAAAATAATGAAAAAGTGGCATAATAAGATCATCCCCCATGTCCCATAGCAAGTTGTCAAAATATGTTGCTTTTATAAGGTCCAACATGCATCATATGTAAGCAGTACCTATATCTCTCTATTATTGTCTATTGTTATGGCTTATCTACTTTTGTGTACCTGGAGGCAACTAAAAGTTCATAATTCTTAAATTAAACACTTATCAAACTTTTATTATTATTATTATTGTTCAAATGTATTACATTTTTTCCAAACACATTAATTGTTCCTAAAATTTCTTGAATATTAACAATTTCAAAGCTTTAGTTTTAATAAAATTGTTCTAACACTGTTGAGTCTGTGAGATTAATTATCTCTGAGTAT